TGCTGGCTGGGGAATTCTGGGAGTTGAAGTCCACACATCTTAAAGTTGCTAAGGTTGAGAAACACTGCTTTGGGTGTTCAGTGGAAGGAAAGTCGGGAGAGAAGGAATGTCATTGTCAATGTCCCAGTCCCCACCCCCACCCCCAAACATCCCCCTCAATGGGGAATTACAGTTTTGTGCCTGGTCTTTCTGCCTAAATCAAGGGTAGGTAATTCCCATTCAGCCCCCAACCCCTATTTCTGAACTCTTCCAGGACTTCCCAGAATCACACCACGATCTTTTGGGAACAAACGTTATACAACTGGCAGGGCCATATCTTGCTCTTCATCTGGAAAAATAAAATAAAAACCATCCCTGTCTTGAGAGATGTGCATTTGGCTCCCCCTTGGTCTAATCCCCCCCCCCCTTAAACCAACAGAAGGCGTCGCCATCCAGATGTCCTGTGAAATTTCCACAATGAACTGTGTGCCATGCCGATTAAAAAAAATTTGGCTCCCCCTTGGTCTAATCCCCCCCCCCATTAAAGCAACAGAAGGCGTCGCCATCCAGATGTCCTGTGAAATTTCCATAATGAACTGTGTGCCATGCCGATTAAAAAAAGCTACTTAGAGGAGGTTTAGTTCCAGATGTTAGAACTTGAGGTCTTCCACCAAACCTGTGCAGGCCTGAAGGGGGGCCGTGGGGCTGAGCCTTCTGAAGTGGGTCACCTCTCCCTCTGCCGCGGGACAGCTCACTGCACCCCCCCTTGCTCCTCTCTGAAATCCACTGGACGGATCATCATGGTGCTTGCCTTGAGGCTATGGCTGGGGCCTTTCCAGTAGTGCCATTTCATGCCATTGTATCTGATCGTGGCAGGACTGGGAGGGTAATAGATGCCATTCAGGTTAGAAGGTCCACAGGCATCGAACCACCACCCTGAAGGAGGCAGAGAGCGGGGAAAAAGCCAGAAGGGAAAGAACAAATATTTAGGATTAACAGTGCTTGGCCCATATATTAAAAGAGATTGTTCTCCCAACTTTCTAAGAAATGTTTACAGAATGGTTCGGATTAAGCAAGGTTTGAGTCTCAGAAGTGGTCTGTCTAACTGAGTCTCTCTCTGTAGGGTTAGGAAACCTAGGTTGATGGGTAGGGCATGAGTCTTGGGGTACAGCAGCCTTCCCCAGCCCAGTGCAATTCCCTGGTATATGGGACTACCACTGCCCCAATTCCTAGCCATCACTGAAGGTACCAGGTTGGGAAAGACTGGTCTATCCAGCATGGGAAATTCCATGTTGGTTTCCACCCAAATTAGTTGGTGGAACAGCTGTGAGAAAAGCTGGAATTCAGCTTCAGAGAACTTCTCAACTGCTACCTGAGTTCAGGATGGGGGCAGCTCATGAGAATGTGCTATCTGAGGCAGGAAAGGTGGGTTCTGCTTAATGTGGGAGGAGGACCTGTCACTTCTCCCCACACTTCCTCCATCCATGACCCTGCTGCTCCTTCCACCCATATAGGCACCTTCTGTGGGAGTCCAATTGGGGGGCAGTCAGCTCTTCTAACAAGCCATTACAGGGAGGCCCCCTCTTTAGACCAGCTACTCTGGGCAGCAAATTGTGAAGGAAGGAAGGAAAGGTTTGCACCCACTCACTGCCCCTCATAATCTGCTGGTCGAGTAGCCGCTTTGTTCCTCCAAATGGTAGGGAAGGCCCCAGACAGGGTGCTCACACTATGCTAAGCCGTGATATGGTGTGTCTGATTTTGGCTTCCAGAAGCAGCATCTGCAGGGGGTTGAAAAACTCAAGGCAGCAATTGCAGCAGCAGGACTGAAGCCCTTTTGTGTGTGAGTCAATATCACACGCACGTACAAAATGGCAGGGCTTTGATTGTGCTGCTGTGATGTGACTGCTGTCTTGACTGGGACACCATCAGCATAGAGCGTTGTACAAACCTTACAACCGTGGTATGTAGAACATGGTTATGGCTTAAGCTGAGGTGTCAACCCAACCCAACCCACTGTGCTGTTGCCCTGGATTAAGCAAACTATGGTTTCATGCAGTGTGTGAAGCCAGCCAGTGGAATAATCTGAGAAACAGAGGGGGAAATTTGCACACTAGCACCAACTAGTGATTTCTGCCTAATGGAAACATTGGCCTAGGATCAGGAAATGTCCTGGTAGTTACTTATTGGCTCCTGGCTGCTTCAATGTAAATTTCTGGCCATTCCCCCTTAATCTTAGCTACCTTAGTCACTATAAACCCTTGCCTAAAATATGTAATTTATTCTATTCTTTCATCACGTAACCCACGGCTCTCAGGGAGCTTTGGCTCTTTGCAGTTTGCAGGACTTGTCCTGCTTAAACTTCAGAAAGATCTTTGGATTCAGAGTCAATTCAGGAGGGGAGGGCATGTATCAAAAAAAGCCAAGGTAAAGTCTGCAACCATGTGAACTAAGCCCTACTTTGCAGATGCAGACACCATCTTAACGTTTTTGACCCTCCCCACCGATGCCCCTCTTTGGATCACTCTTAGAACGATATGCAGTGCAGACCTAGAGGAGGATTGTGGCCCACTCTGCCCTCATTACCTCCACTTGCCATCTGAGCACACTTGCACGCGCATCGATCATTGTCAGCATCCTTGGTGCTGAAATCGGTTCCCGAGGGACTGAGGCTGCTGGTGCGTCCAGCGGTGCCACCATATCTCCTTGCATAAAGTCTGCCAAAGGTAGAGCAGAGAAGATACCATCAACCATAGTTCACAATCTGATGCTCCTCTCAGACCAGAAGCCCAAGTTGCTTATTTGCCATTGCATATACAGGAATGGGGAGAAATTCAGTCCTAAGAGATTCAGGCACTGAAAGAGTTAAAGGAAGGCGTGAGCGGTCAATCCAGGTGAATGGACAAATGGATATCCTTGAAAAATAAATTGTGAGGGGCCCATCAGGAGCAAGAAAGCTCAGGTGGGCTTTTAAAGAGAGGAGGGGCTTCACCTGATTTGGCTTTTGGTTTCACTTCTACCAGAGGTGTGGGAGCGACTCTCCTCCCTGACTGGCTGAAAGCCAGGTTAAAAACAAAAGTTCAGAGACAAACACTTCTGCAGGAGATCAAGACTAGTGAAAGTTGGAGGGAGATTAGAATTTTATTTTATTTTAGGAACTTCCTAGGTGAGATCCTGGCTCAAGGATCTGCTGCTGAAATCAACTTCTAAAGAGGCCATTGTTCCTTTCTTCTCCTTTTTCTCTTCTCTTGTTCAGTTGGGGCACACCAGCCTTCCCTAGCCCAGCCCACTTCCCTGGCATGTGGGACTACAACTGCCCCAATTCCCAGCCAGCATTGAGGGTACCAGGTTGGGAAAGACTGGTCTATCTAATGTGGGAAATTCCATGTTGGTTTCCATACAAATTAGTTAGCGGAGCCGCAGTGAGAATTCAAGCTTCAGAGAACTTGTCAACTGCTATGTGAGTTCAAAACATCCCCTTCTGGAAAAAATCCTGTATGTGTGCACACAACACACCCTGTTATAGGCTGAAATAGTGCAAGGGTTAGAAACAGAGTGCTCACAACCATCAAGACACCCCACAGGATGTACATAAAACCCTAGATTTTTTGGTAATTACAATTGGCCCAAATCATACAAGATCACCAAATAATCTTCTTACGTGAGAATGTATAAGATTTGGATTGCTTTCCAGGTATGACGACCAACTCTCAGAATTCTCAGCAGTGGCCATGGGGAATTTTAGGAGTTGAAGGCCACACATCTGTTGGGGGAGGATCCCAGGTTTAGGAAAGCTGGATTAGATCAACAAACAACCAGGCAAAGGGACCACAGATGTTCCATGAAAAGGCTCACCGGTAGTTCTGCTCCTCGGAGCCTACTTGGAAATGCTCGAAGACAGAATAAGCCTCATTGTTTTCCCAGTCTTGGAGCTTGATATGGAGGGAATAGCGGTTCTCCGTGGTGAGCAAGTGGATGAAGTCGTTGCCCAACCAGTACTCTCCAGGTGGAGACCCAAAGCCCTGTTGGAAAGCATGAGAGAACACTGAAAAAGGCCTGCTACGAACTGTAGGACAGACTTCACTGGGGTAAGGAGCTGGTTGGTTTCCAGATGTTGCTGGAAAGTTTGCCAGCAGTCCCAGCAGACAACGTGGTTAAAGGTGAGGGGTGCTGAAGGTTGAGGCTCTGCAAGATCTAAGTGCCACACGGTCTCCATATATGAGATAAAGAAAAACTGGTGGCTTAAATGCCACTCTCAAGCTAGCCTGGCCCGGAATCACAAAGCTTTGACCAAGAAAACACCTGGAAACCTTGCAGAAATTGAACTGAAGCCCAGCTCTTGCTGTGATTGAGCAATACCCCTTTGGATTGCAGTGGATGTTCAAATGATGGATTTTTCTGCCTGTGCATAGAAAACTAGGCAATAGGAAGAATGCTTCTTGCTCAACCTTCTCCAGGACATATAGTTTTCAATGTGCGAAAAAGTACTCTGGATCCAATTCAGTCTGGGTTCATCCATCTCATTAAGCCAGGGAGGCTTGTATCAATTCTTACCTGTTTATATTCCTTCCAGGTGCGTTGGAAATCCACAGAACCATCTTTCCGGTGTTGGATAACAGTCCAGCCTCCTCCACTGGTCTCCATGTCACACAGCACCTGGAAGAATGGCAGGACATTATGGAAGACCAGTTTCCCCCAGCTTGAAGAGCAACTGGTTTAGTACATGGGAAGCTTCACTGACTACAGATAGTCCTCGACTTATGACCACAATTGGGACCGGAAATTCCATTGCTAAGTGATGCAGTCATTAAGTGAGTCATGCCTGATTTTACAACCTTTTTTGCTGTGGTCATTAAGCAAATCACTGCAGTCATTAAGTGAATCATATGGTCATTAAGTGAATCTGACTTCCCTCATTGACTTTGCTTGTCGGAAGCCACCAGGGAAGGTTGCAAATGGTGATTGTGTGAGCCTGGGATGCTGCAACTGTCGTAAATATATACCAGTTGCCAAGTGCCTGAATTTTGATCACATGACCATGGGACGCTGTGACAGTTGTAAGTGTGAGGACCAGTTGTAAGTCACTTTTTTCAGCACCGTTGTAACTTTGAATGGTCATTAAGTGAATGGTTGTAAGTTAAGGACTACTTATACCAGTTTTCTTTCAGATTTAATGTAAAAAAGAACACTGACTGGGACATTTTAATCTTTAAATGACAACGACATCTAAACTAACATCTTTTTCCTGTCAATCAACTAAGCTAGGTGTGAGCATCATTCTCTGGATGTCCCTGTTTACTGAATTTGGGAGATGTGTGTGTCAGAAACAGGTCCTTCTTAGTGATAGCACCCAAATTATGGAATTTCCTTTATGGTTGTTCAACTGGCATCTTCTTGTAGACATCAGGTGAAACCTATTCTGTTTCTGGAAGCTTTTAATAGTATTTTATTATGATAATCATTCATAGGCTTATATTTTTTGCCTATTTATTGTTGCTTTTTATAATAAGTGGGTTTACACATTATCTTAAACTGAAATATGGTACATACACTTAATGGTTATAAGAAGTGATGTAAACTACGGACCAACTTAAATCATGGTTTATGGCTGGGTTCATTCATTACATAAAGCAAAAATTAAACAGATCACATTATGGCTTAATGTGAGATGTGAACACAGCCCCTGTAACTTAGCTTCATATGTGAGTTTAGTCATAAGAATTTACTCAGCCAATCATGGTTAAGAATACTGTGGCTTAGTCTGATATATGAACCCTGCTTGTCTAGAATGACAAAGGTCGTTAGTACATGCACTCACTTGTACAGTGGCTGTAGTATTGGGGAGCTGAAGGTTGTAGACTCCACTGGTGGAGAACCCCAATTTGTACGCCGCTGCACAGTCCTTGAAGACCTTCTGCTCATCTGGCAGGGTGAAAGAAATGTCTGTGGGGTGAGGTCAAAAGCCATTTTAAATACAATTGTCCAGTTTGGGTGGGAAGGTTCATCAAGTACATTGTTATAGGGCTGAATTCATCCTCTCTGTAATAAAATGTGCCTGTATTAGGGATTCTCAGAGACCTTGCAAAGCAGATGGAAGGTTTCCAAGGAGCAAAGCAGTTTTTCAGATAGATCCTGAGGTGCCCTGGACACTAAACTGAGACTCTGTTTGCCTGTTTGGGCCTGCTGATCCCTGGAATGCCTGTGTGACCTGCAACTGGCATGGTCATTTGGAGATTTCAGGAAGTGCTAACAAAGAAGGAAAAGAGCTCCATACTGCTTCGTTATTTTAGAAAGATTGAGGATCTCTTAGCCACCTTGTCATGGATTTTTACTGCAAAAAGACAGACCCCACTTGGAGTTCACTTTGATGTTAGTGCTGTCCTGTTTATTCTCACCAGACGTTATATCCCAATTCTCAGCTGTGCCAGATGGCCAAGTCTAGCTTAGGAGAAGTTACTTACGATTGCAGTGGGACACCAAGTCTATCAGATGCTTCACTGTCTCTGCCAAAGATGTTTGTTGTTTCTGGAGGGCTGTGTTGTTGAGCAAGGCAGCACCCAGGCGTTGCTCCAGATGACCAACAAGATCCACCTGCTTGGAGAGAAGCTTCTGCATTTCCATCTTCTCATACCTCAGGCCCTGCAGCTCCTCCTCACGTTTGCTTTCCATAGCCAAGACTTTCTTCTCTAGGAAGCTGAAGAATGGAAACAATTTCTTCTGTTTCTCAAACCCAGAGGTGATGTAGTTCTTTAGGTAGTCTTCTCTCAGATTCTGAACCAGAAGCTAAGTCAGTTCTCTACTCTTCATGAGCACAAGCTTCAGTAAATACGGGCTCAGATGGTGAAAAAATGCCCATGCAGGAGGTCCAAAGCAGACTTCCTCACATGCAAAGGACTACTCATAGGTAGGCTCTCTTTGTAAGGCAAAACCCTTCAAGGAGACCTCTGATATTCAGCAATTGAATCTTGGGTGAGGTCTGAGTGCCAAGATTTAAGGCCTGTCTGTTTCAGGGAGTTGGGGGTTGTTTTGTAGCTTCCTAACTTACAACAACCTTGTCCTGCATCCTGAGATTTATTTTATATATCTCCTCCTTTTTGGAAAAGTGCGCAAACCAAGCTTGATCTCACTTTCTAGTCCCTGTGCCTATGTTCTGATACAAAACAGACCAGGAGCACCACTTTTATCAGGATAGTAATAAATCAGTTGGGTTCAGGGTAGGTTTGCAAGATCATCCAGGGGCCCTCTTTGAATAGGAGCATGACAGGGTCATCAGTTAATCAGCTGTGCATGGCATTGAATTTAGAACTTCCAGCTGATAAGGCCATAGGATCCTTACATTTCTACAGGACAAATCCAGCATTGGCAAAGCTGCACAGAGATAAACTTGCAAAGGGGAGCAAGTGTGGAGCTCTTCTGCTCTCGTCTGTTTTTTCTGTATTCCCACAACTATGCTTCCGTAAGGACACCCAAAGGTGACTCTAAATCTTCACCTTCCGCTTCGTATGTTATAAAAGTTACAGGTAATCCTCAACTTATGACCACAGTTGGGACCAGAACTTCTGTTGCTAAGTGATGCGGTCGTTAAGTGAGTTGTGCCTGATTTTACAACCTTTTTTGCCATGTTCGTTGACTGAATCTGGCTTCCCCCATTGACTTTGCTTGTTGGAAGCCCCTTGGGAAGGTCACAAATGGTAATCACATGACCTTGGGATGGTCGTAAGTGTGAGGACCAGTCGTAAGTCACTTTTTTCAGTGCCATCGTAATTTTGAACGGTTGTTAAATGAATGGTTGTAAGTTAAGGACTACCTGTATTCCAAAGAGCTGCATAACCGCCAACACCTGGGCTGCTCAGACTATAATTTTTAACCCAATAAAAAGAGGAACTGATTAAAAACAGGGGACATGATAATATTGTCCTTAATATATTTGATTTGAATGTGAGTTCAAATTAAATGTAAATTATTTAAAAAATTATCATGGCCACAATTTTTGTTTGTTTCAGTCCTACCTTTTTAATGTATTAATTTATTTGTTGATTGGTACCCCCCCTTTCCTCCAGGAGCTCAGGGCAAGATACAAGGCACTCCCTTTCTCCATTTTTTTTCCCAGAACAACCTTGGTGGGTAGGCTGGGTTGGGATGAGGGAACCCTTACCCATATGATCGGGGCTTGTTCAATTAATATTCCATTTCAGTTTGTTATGCAAAAAACTGTTAAATGTTTTGAAGATCACTGCTGTTTAAAGAATTTGTTTTTGAATTCCATACCTGTCATTTAGAATCATTACCTGAAGAATTATCACGCATGGTGGAGAGCAAAGGAAATAATTATTCAGCACTAGGAAAATAGTGTTACTGTAGATTTATAATCTTGGATTATATTTTTACGCTCACTTTTTCTTTATTAACTACCACTCTGTCAACACAGTGGAAAGACTGCTGAACACTGCTTTTCATGGTCAGAGTTCAACAATTTATTTAAAACTTAGGCTGACATACATATATACATACATACATATATATAATCAGCCTAATTTTAAAATAAATTGTTGAACTTTGACCATGAAAAGCAATATATGTACGTACGTATGAGTAGAATATGCTTTTGTATTTTCCCCCACCTTTTGCCTTTTATCTTCTGCCCTGAAAAGTGTACTCAGAAAATGCTACCACCATCCATTTTATTCCAAGAAACTCCATCTCAGCACTAGTTTACTCAGAAGAAGGAAAATAGAGATCCTGTTGCCTTTGCTTTCTTTTCTCTTCTGTAGCTTAACTAGGCAAGGAGACATTTATTCATCCATCCATCCATCCATCCATCCATCCATCCATCCATCCAAGGAACTCTGGGTAGTGAATAAAAACAAACAATTCCATTAAACCAAACCCACAAAATAAAACAGTGTCAGATAGATAGGAATGGGCGTGGTAGTTGCCACTTTTG